CCAGACCAGGACACCCCCATCTCAGCGGCTCATTCAAAGCCACCGCCGAGGGAGGCCTTCAAGGCGGAAAGCTCTCTGGCACGGTTGGGCAAGGCCGTGCCTAGACATCCCCACCTGCAAAGTACAGCCAAGCCCTACGTACCGCAGAGGTAAGCCCGGGCTATTTGTTGCTGTTCCTTGCAAAGCAGCTTAAGGTCCTCAGATGAATCTCTCTTTCCCTCTCTCCTTCCACCTAACTCTTCACCAGTACCCATCCACACAGCATTGTCCCCCCACGGGAAGAGAGCATTCTCTGCTGCAGCCCTTGTCCTAGTCTTCTTCTCCAAAGCTGTCCCTCCATGCGAGCCTTCTCCCTCCCACCCAAACCCACCAGGCTGCCTCCCAGCATCCTCCATCTCTGCTGTCACTTCTCAGACTGACTCTACACAGAAGACTTGCAGCTGCAGGTCTAGAGCAAGCAACCGCTGACAACCCGATGGGCTAAGGGCGAGGAAAATGCTCAAGCTTAGCAGGAAAGCAGCAGGGAAAAGCCCTTAATCCAAATCCCAGGGAGGCAGGAGCCTGTCCCAGTTCAGCCAAAGATCTAGGAACGGCAAGATACCCACTGCCACTTGGCCGGGAAATCCAGGTGGGTTTGCAGCAGGCTGGCTCAGCCCCCCCGAGACCTCTCTAGGGCAGCACAGGCTGCTATCAGTTGAACTGAAATCCCCTGCTGCCCCTGACAACACAGCACAGCAAAGCCTGACAGATCGATGGTGGTGAACAGCATGGAGCTAGAAAGCTAGGTGGGTGCTGGGATTTCTGTGACTGCCCAAGGCCCAAGAAGTCATTACTCATCACGGCAGCTTGACCAACTGAGAGCATCCCAGGGCACAATGATCAGTCACATTTAGGAGTCTAGCACTGGACTCCTGAGGCCCCTGGGCAGGAACCAGGGCAGGGGCAAACCTAGGGGAGGGAGAGACCTGGGTTAGGCTGACCTAAGCCCTGGGCTGGGCTGGCAGTTCAGCTCTGGGGTGCTGGTGGAGGGTCAGATGGAGAGGCCCAGGGAAAACCTGCACATCTCCAGCTTCATAGGACCTACCGTGAAAGTCATCTGGGGACCAGGTATGTTCAAAGAGCACCATAGGGAACACCTGCCAGGCACCAGCCCACACCATCTACAGTCACGAGCTAAATTAACGCTCGAGCACTTGGGCACTTGCACTTACAATGCCTCTAGTGAGCTGCATGCCACGCTCCTCATAAACAAGTCATCTGGAAAATAAGTAAGCCTGTAAAAATCCAGCCCATCACAAGTTACCAAACCTGTTTCAGAGTAAAACAACCTACAGCAGCTCACACCAGGAGCCTGGCAGTGGAGCCGACCCCAGCCTCCCCACTAGTGAGGCTTCCTAGGTCCCAGCAAAACGTCTGTGGTACAGATGGCAGCATGAGGATGCGACGTGAGACTCGTTTCAAACAGGAAGTTCTCTCTGTTGTCAGCGCCGTCTATCAAAGAAAAGCTGGTGGCATTTTGCCCTCTAGAGACCTAGAGCTTTTGAACCACAAAAGCCCTACCTGGGGCACGTAGGAAAAGCTCATGGGCCATCCAATGCCTTCCTGCAGCTCAGTGCCACAAGACGCCTTCTCCCTCTTAACGTTCAAAACCATCAGAGATCTTCAGAATGTGGAGGGATTTTCTCCCAATTTCCCAAAAATGCACTGCAAGCTAGGTCACAGGGAAATCTATATCCCCTGAAACAAAACAGAAGCAGAGCCTCTACCCAAGCCCTTTTCCACTGGTGGCACTTCCAGCTGAGGACAGGCAGCCGGGACATCCCCAAGCAAGCTCTGATGCACCTGGCCTCAATCAACTGTGTCCCACACAAAGATGAGGCAAACATGGTAATAACCCACAAGTGAGTCCCTTTCTTTAGCTGCTGCCTTCTGACACATGCTCCAATCCCAGCAATGTATTTTTCTCCTTTTGGATGAAAAAATAAAAATTAAAAAAAAAAAAATAAAAGCAGCAACACATCAACCTCATGCTGAAGCAACTTTCTTTTTCAACCTTAGAAGCAAGTTCCCCCATGCCAGGAGAGTAGGTTCCCCCATGCAGGCGAGAGGCACGTGGCTGGGGCAGCAAAGGCAAAGATGGAAGAAAACGTTTCATTTTGAGACCATGACACAAACAAAATGACAAGAAGCAAAAAAAGACAGGGTGGGTTGTTGGGTTTTTTTTTTTTTCTCTTCTCCTCTTTAAGCGCTACAAAAACAGGAAACAAAGGAGAAAACATCTCACAGGGGGGAAGGGGAGGTAAGCGCTTTATACGCCCACGAAAGAAAGATTAACCACATATTTTATTTACTGTTTGTATTACGGTTGCACTGTGGAGTTCAACCAATTCCGAGCCAGGGCTCTGTGGATTTGTGCAGCACCCAATGCCGAGCAGTCCTCTTCCCCCAAACCCACCAAGCGTGCATCCCCGCTTCAAGCGAGCCCTCCACAGACCCCCTCCTTCCTCCTGCGGACGCCCGCCTCCTGCCTCTTTTGCCCAGCAAGAGCTCTCTTGCCCTAACTGCCCACTTACAGCTGAGAAAGTGCTGGTGTTGCCTCTCCAAGGAGTTTTGAGCCTCTTTTCCCCTTCAAATCAGACTTAACTACGGGTAAGATGCCCTTCAAGGTGGGCCAGCAGCAGAGCCAGAGTAAAAGGTGAGTTTATGGGGAGTGTGTTTGCAGGCTCCCATCCTTCCTCGGGGCTATGGGGACCACCCCTACCACACCGTGTCGATGTTGCACCCACACACACTCACAAGTCCCCCGCACCAAGGACAGGGCTCTGAGCCTCCAAACTTTGACTCATTTCTCAATTAACAGCTTCCCAAACACAAGCCACACATGGAACAAATCTCTCACAACGAGGCCTCCCCCGGACCTCCCAAGCCCAGTGTTACTCATCCGCCCCGCAGCCCTCCTTCCCCTGGACGCTCCAAGAGCATCTCACCGCCGTGGGGTGAGTAAGTAGCCAGGAATCCCCGGCCCAGCTCCCGCAGGCGGGAAGCTGTCACCAACTGAGCACACGCACCCTAATTCAGGAGCCACCACGGCCGCCCTCTCTGCCAGCTGGCGAGGGGAAGCTTTCAGCCAGAGACCTGCCCAAAGCCACGCAGCGAGGGCCAGCAACCTGCCGGGTGTTTTTCCCAAGGGCTCTTCCCTACTCCAGCCAGTTTGCAGAGGAATTGCTTCAACTGCAGGAGGGGATCCTTCGGGCATGCCGTCCCCCAGCTTTGGGCTGTCCTCCGTTGCCCCAGCCTCCGAGCACCCAACCGAGCCACACGCCCAGCGGGAAGAGACAAGCTTATCATCGCAGAGAAGGGAAATTAAGATAACGCAGCGATGGAGGTACCGAGGGATTTGGCCAAGGTCACAAAATAAGTCTGCGGCTCTACGATACAGCTGCCCGACACGTTCGGTGTCTGCCCACATACCCTAAAATGTCAAGTCAGGGCCAACATCCAGGCTAGCCAGTGGCAGAAGCGGCGCCGCCGCCCGGAAGGGAGCGCAAAACCCCCAGCCATAACAACGGCAGCAACAACAAAAAAAACCACGCAGCAAGAGCGGGAATAGATGAGATCAAAGTGTCCTGGAAAAGGACCTGGAAAAATAGTTTTGGTCCCTGGCTAAGGCTCCCGGGAAATGCACATGCGAGCCCCGACCCAGCCCTGCGCAGCCCTCCCGGGGTGGCTCCCCACCCTGGCAGAGGGCGACCAAAATGACTCCCTATAAATAGAAGCAGAAAAGCGCTTCTCCAAAAGCCTGGCTGGGTCTTTTCCCTTCCAGCGTGTGTGGCAGAGCTGCTGGCACCTCCGTGGAGGTCTAAAGCCGGGAGAGGAAAATACCCTTCCTGTGAGCTCAGGCTGACTCCTCTCTGCACAGAGCTGCCCCCCCGCCTCAGGCCTGGCCATCCAATTGGAAAGTAATTATACTGCAATTTTTATTTATGACTTTTTTTTTTTAATTGCTAAATGGTGACTCATTTTGGCAACATTAAAATACACAGGAAATCATCCCCATTTTACAGTAATCACCATTCAATTCATTGTTAAATATTTATTTGGCGGACAAGCGCTGGGCCTCTTTCGAAGGGTCGGAGGGGGAGCGGAGGGGAAGGTGGTGGGGGGGTCACTGCAGGGCTGACCGCAGGGCTGTTAAGTGCCCACCCCAAACTTCAGGGTGGGGAGCCAGGGGGAAAAAAGAAAGCTCCTGCCAGATGGTCTGGCCACAAGCAAAATACAGACTCGCTTTCCCTCGAATCCAACGCTATGCCCCATGCTGTTTTGGGGAGGGTGGGGGCAGCCCTGTGCCCCCTAATAAAAAGCCCATTATTTGGCCAAATCCCAAGCGCGAATCCCTGCCCGCGAGAAGCCGCCAGTCTCCGACACGAAGGTCTCTCAGTGCCGGGTGGAAAGG